TCCCACTATTTTACTCAAACCAAATGACCCTCATCATTTGATTCGGAAAGTCCCGTTGGAAGACTTTCTAGTGGGTCGAGATCCACATTTAACTTCGTTCTAAGTTAGCGTTAGGCTGATTACATAAAACTAGGTTATTTAGGTAGGAACTCCTTCCAATTGTATCTCATACAACTCTCAAATATTTTCAGTTGGGTGAATAACTCCTTATTCTAATTCATCATATGAATCATTCCCAACTCTTGCTTCTAAACATGTATAATCTTATTATAATGTGTTTAGTTAAGTTTGACCCATTGTTTTAGCAGTTGGATATTACAATTATCCCATCGCACCTTACTAATATAGAACATGCACCTCGCGTAGGCGAAACCTACATTGTTCGATACTAGTCTTGATGAGTGCTAAAACTTGGAAAGCATGAACTTAATATTTAACTTGAGGGATTTTGTTATTAGTTTGATCTCACCGGCTTAACATGCAATTTGTCTCTCTCATGCATCAACATACAAACACATGCATCAATATACATAAAAGGATACAGTTATGGCCCCTAGCGCAATTGTTCTCCCAAGTCAATGAGAGAACCTAAGCTAACCTAATAACGATCTAAACTTCTCCAAGCAAGATCTCCAAGGTTATCCTCCTTTGATATTGTATTCTTCTCTTTCTTCATAACATTACATTACATAAAAGAAACTCGTTTTACATACGAGGGAGTGAGATGAGAAAAGAAGTTACATCAAGAATTTTAGAGAGAGGCACGACACACATGCCGTATTTTACAATCCCAAAACAAAATAAAGGAAAAACTAAGGCCATAACTGATCACCACAAGACAATAATAATAAACACACTTTTATTATTAGTTTAAATTTTTTTAATTAAAAAAAGGCAAATTAAATTTCGACGATTGATCACACTACGCAGAGTTAGTCGGGAGTTCCGCTGCACGGTCAGCGGACGGTGGTTCCGCTGACCGTTCAGCGGATGGGGGTCAAGGGGGCAGCGCCCCTTTGTGGGGTTGTTAGGGGCAGCGCCCCGATGCAAAATTTTAATGAACAATTCATTTGAAATCGGCGTCATTTTCGCACAACTCTTGTGCATTCACAACCCTAATCGCACAACTCTGCAACAACACAACCCTTGTGCCGTCATGAACCCTAATGCAACAGTTTCATGTTGTCAAACACATTTCGATTGATAATTCAGTATGATTAATCACATGCCATTGCTTCACCATACTAATGTCGGATTCCGAAGCATATGAACAGTGATCAGTCAAAGGAATAACAATCATCAAGTGTTTGAATGAACGAAACAGAAACAGTATATCCCATATACCATCGTTGCATCAGATTTACTTATATCATATATAAAAGTGATCGATCTTATTTGTGTAACCTATGGACGATCGATGTATCGCTGCTTCACCATACTTATGTCGGATTCCGAAGCATAGTCAACATCAATCATCCAAATCGTACACAACAGATGCCAAATTTAATTACTCGTTTATTATTCAATTCATTCTGGTTTTAATCGAATCAAAATAAAAAATATAGAACATAAACAACTATCAGATCCATGGTTTCGTAAGTGGCTCTGATACCACTGAAGGAAAATTGCGATCAAAAGCGCATCGGAATTTAAAATTTTCCTTTAGCGATCCTTACGAATGAACATGGTCATTGATAGAAATATTTACCTCTTGTGGCGATTCAGACCTTTGCTGTTGTGATCACGAGCGTTGATGAAGAACAACGCCTCTACTCAGTCCACACGAACAGATCGCTTCCGGTCACAGTGCTAGCTGATCACGAACGAAAACCTTGAGTGAGAGAGAGAATCAAAAACGAAATTGCATCAAGTGAAATTGCTTCATCACAAGGGATCTATTTATAGAATCACTCGTGTGGGCTACAAGCTAAAAGCCCAATTAAGGCTATAAGCTAAAAGCCCAATTAAGCTTATGGACATCATACCTTATGATGTACCATATATCACTTATCCACGTGGTACCTTACCACTTTCCGTATTACACTTAAGTGCATCGTACCTTACGGTGTTCCTTATTTATTCTATCTCTCATCAACCTGTCCTTATGTGTGTGACCCTGTAGGTTTTCGCAACATTGGCAATTATATTAAATCACACATTTAATATAATAAACAGTAAGCGGTATCTAGCAACACATCACTGTTACCCAAGTCACGAAAATGTCATGTGATCTGACCAAACCTTTTCCGTGATAATATTTGTGTTGTACAATTACCCTTTTGCCCTCATGTCTATATTGAACACAAGGCATACACTGTGTCACCCTTGTCCAGTTCAATATTGGGCCCTTAGACATTTATCCTGTTATGCAGGATGAGCAAATTCCATCTAGGTCACTCATGTCCCTTAGCATGCTTTGTGAAGTACCCATCAACCGTCTTTATAGTCATCCAGTTACGGATGATGTTTGATCAGCAATAAAGTACTTGACTCTACATATAGGGTCTATAGTGGTTTCAGGTCGAAGGGTGGTATACACCATTATCATCATGAGAATAACTTATGACACTTTGCATAACATTCTATGTAGTATTCTCATAGCGGGTCAATCCAGTATAAATATTACTCCTAATATTCATACCTATGTCAAGACTTGATAACTCCTTATCTATGATCCATGAGATGTGATCATCAATCTATCTTCATAATAATCTTAATGCTTTAATGTTATCCCACTTCACATTAAAGCTTGACTACGAATAATTTAAGAATAGTGTCTTATGTTTAATGGGATCTCATGATTAAGTCACACTTAACATTTCATTAAACAAATAAACCATTCTAGGGACTTTATTATTTTGGAAAGCAAACATAATAAAGAAATGCCTTTTATTATTAATAAATAATTCGATACAAGTACCAAAAGTATTGGCCTCTAGGGCTTACACCAACAGTGCAAGCCTGAAATAACTTATAAATGATGATTTTTGTTGGTTGAATCTGCTTGAACATTGAAGTTTGTCTGATGCTTGATGATTCTTGATGAGCTTTTCACAAAATGGGATGATTGTGACACAATGAGGTTTGAGGGAGTTTGGTTTTTGGGGTTTGATTATTTTTCTGTTCAAAAGGTCTCTGAAAATGAGTAAGAGGAAGAGACAGCGCGCGTTAATGTGCTAACGCGAACCATAAATACAACTATGAGACCTACCGTAAATGTATTTCCGATTAATTTCTGAGTGTCAGCTCGTCTTTCTGTTTTTGCTACATTATGTAATGGATTTTTCGAAAATATAATACCGATTTGATACCGTAAATGTATCTCTGGAAAATTTTGTGTTTTATCACTTCCTGAGTGTGTCCTAGAGATATATCTCTAAAATCTAGGGCCATTTAAAAAATTCGTTTACTGCGCTAGAAAAGCATACGATATGTTAAGAAATTCCATAATAATAATAATAATAATAATAATAATAATAAAGGTAAAATACACTCATTTTCTTTGAAGTCTATTAAAATAACACTAATACTCCCTCTAATTTTTAAATATATATTGACCTCCCTTGAAGTCTATTAAAATGACATGGACACTCCTATAATTTTTAGTGACAATCAAAAATCGTAGATATAGATGACATTTACTTATGATTTTTGATCCGTTATTATAATTTTCCATTGATATATATATATATATATATATATATATATATATATATATATATATAAGGAAGGTCAATGTATAATTTAAAACTAGAATGAATATCCAGATTTTTTTAAGAACCTTAGAAGAAGTGAATGTAGTTTTCCTTAAACATTGTTATAATAATATGTTTCAAACTAATGAATCATCATTAAGTGAAAGTAAAAAAAATAAGATTTTCGAAAGTTTATATTGATTAAAAAAAATAAGATTTTATGTGATATTTATTTTTTTATAAATATTTTTATTTTAAATGATATATTATATATGGATAAGTTCAAAATCTTGACTAGAATACAAAATTTCAATTCCATTATTAAAAATTACCAGCAGACTTACTTATTCTTCCTTTTCTCTCTTTATTAGTTATTTATGGTTTTTATTATTATTATTTTTTTTATTATTAAGATCTGTCATTTTAAAATTATTATTTTTGGGTAATTTTTCTTTTCTTATTGTTTTATATATATTAAAAATAAAATAAAAATGGAGCGGTGCAAGTGCACCTCCCTTGCTCCACCACTAGTTGATTCAACGAATATTAGTTTTTTATATATAATTTTTTAAGTAGTATTTCAATAAAACAACAATTTCTTATATTTATGTATAAATGCACATATCATATTAAAATATATAGATTTTTAGTAGTTGAACAATAAATCAATAAATAAATTATTTTAAAAAATGTCCGAAATATATAAATAAAAAACCAACAAAGAAAAAAAAAGAAAAAGTGTCACAAAATCACACACACTTTCCTTTTTTTTTGGTTTTTCACAACTAATTTAATTTGATTTGAAGATTATTTATGACCTTAAGTGATTTCAACCATTTTTTTAATGGGAGTTAGGGAAGATCAAGACTTGAAAATAACGCAATACACATGATCTGCCGGTCAAAGTTTAGCCAACAATGGTAGTAAATGTGATGCATGCTTACTTCACAATCATTTTAACATTTCACATGCCAAATTAAACACAAAATTTCCTCAATTATCAACTCTACAAATTCACACATCACATGCAAAATTCCACAACATAAACATATTACTACTAAGAAACATTTGTCGCCGACCAGTGCCACATGACAAGAAGATAAGAACCAACAACCCTTCCATACTTATAATTCTTCTGTTCTAACGTGACACATCTCAAATCTCCGATCTGTCACCTCTTTCAGTAAGCGACACTTTTTCACAACTCAGCACCACGTTGCAAAACCCTTTAGGTGGGGCATTTTCACAAACACCTGAGAGGTAAAATTAATCAAACGTAGAAATCTTTTGAGGAAGAAGAAGATAATGAGTTTCAGAGAAGACAGCGGCGATGGAAGGGAGCTTCAGAAACCGTTCCTTCATACGGGAAGTTGGTATAAAATGGGTTCCAGACAATCCAGCGTTGCGGGCTCCTCCACTACCCAGGTTTTGCGCGATGGTTCAGTTTCTGTTCTCTTCTGTGTCCTCATCGCTGCTTTGGGTCCCATTCAATTCGGTTTCACGGTCTGCTCCAATTCAATTCTGTTTGAATCGCCGTAAATAACTAACCATTATTATTGATTTTGATTTTTTTTTTTTTGTGTTTGTCCGGTTAGTGTGGATATTCTTCTCCGACGCAAATAGCTATAATCAAAGATCTAAATCTCTCGGTTTCTGAGGTTTTTTTTTATATGTTTGTTTCTATGATTTTGGATTATTCTTTATAGTTTTTGTTCTTAGTGTTAGTGTTTACTTGCTTATGTTGTTGATAATTTGGATAGTTTTCTCTGTTTGGATCTTTATCCAATGTGGGTGCGATGGTGGGAGCTATAGCCAGTGGTCAGATAGCAGAATACGTTGGACGCAAAGGGGTATTTCTTAATTTATTTCTTGGCGGTGTTTACTTGTTTTGAACTTATTCTGATAAAGGAATAATTGTCATGAGTTTTTTTTTTTTTGTTTTGTTTGGATTTTGGGGTGTTGTTTGAATGTTGCAGTCGTTGATGATTGCTTCAATTCCCAATATAATAGGGTGGCTCGCCATTTCTTTTGCCAAAGTAAGTACTACTGTTTGCAAGTGGCATGAGTGATTTTGTTTTTTATTTGTGTGATCAGGGATTTAACCTGATATGACGTTTGGTTGGTTTTATAGGACTCTTCCTTTTTGTTTATGGGGAGGTTATTGGAAGGTTTTGGTGTTGGGATTATTTCTTATGTGGTAAGTTTGATTGTTTTGTTCGATCATTTTATTTGTTGAGTCTATTTGGAAGGTTGCTGATTGCTGATTTAATGCTGTCTGTGTACGGGTTTATTTTCCCCCTTTTTTAGGTGCCTGTTTATATAGCTGAGATAGCACCTGAGAACATGAGAGGTAGCCTTGGATCAGTGAATCAGGTTGAAAAATTATTTGTTTCTGAATCCTAAGTCTTTTCATTCGATTTCATATTGAAGGGGCTGGAGGCATTGAATTTGGTATTTAATATTTATGTAATATTTCTTGCTCAGCTCTCTGTTACAATTGGAATAATGCTGGCTTATCTGTTAGGCCTTTTTGCCAACTGGAGAGTGCTTGCAATCCTAGGTAAATTCCTAATGACCTTGTTGTAACAAGTTTCATATAAGTGAAAACAACGAAAATGCTTGGATTATGTGTTTAGTGGAGGAGGCAGGTCTATAAAGTAAAACAGTGTCAGTCATGAGGGGAATAGTAAATTTGCTTGGGGATAGTTTGTGTATTTTACATCTTGTTTATAGAGTAAAATCAAAGTTGTATAATGGTTTAATCTTTCAAAACATTAATTTGTACACATATTTATGCTCTTTGTTCTGTTGCAGGAATTTTGCCTTGTACAATATTAATACCTGGATTATTTTTTATACCAGAATCTCCTAGATGGTTGGTATGGATCGAATGTTATGCATTGTACTGATTGAGTTCTGTACCTTATATCCGTTAATATCATGTTCCTTCCAGAAAAGGGATGGCAAGGCATTACTCTTTCTAATTTTCTTTCTTCTTCTTTTCTATTTTTTGTTGGGCCAATGGGGAATCTTAGGCCAAGATGGGGATGATGGATGAGTTCGAGACTTCGTTGCAAGTGTTGAGAGGATTTGACACAGATATATCTGTTGAAGTACACGAAATTAAGGTATGTGGCATAATTGCCTACTGTAATATGGCTAATTGTTGCTAACTAGGTAAAATATCAACAGTAAGCATACTGTGCACTTAATAGTATTATTTTAGAATATGTATGTAAAAAACATGCTCTTCTAACCACTTTACTTTTTTTAGAGAGCTGTGGCATCAACTGGAAAAAGGGCTACAATCCGATTTGCAGATCTCAAGAGGAAAAGATATTGGTTCCCTTTATCGGTATAATACATTCCCTTCTTAGTTCTGATATTGTCATGTTGTAATTTATCTGTGTTGAATATTGAGAGAACAAGAGGAAGGTTGGATTGAATCCGTGTGTTTGAATTACACATCGGAGCTCATTATATATAATAGGAGGCATAAATGCCATAGTAATTACATAATATTCTATAATAATTACATAATATTATATTTCCTATTTACATGATATCCTAATTACTTACAGAATATTCTATTTACATAATATGGAATATTCCGATATCTAACACTCCCCCTCAAGCTGGAGCGTATATATCATATGCACCAAGCTTGTTACAAATATAATTAATTCGAGGACCTCTCAAAGGCTTAGTGAAAACGTCAGCTAATTGATCATTTGAATTGATAAAACTAGTGCTGACATCTCTAGATAAAATCTTTTCTCTGATGAAATGACAATCAATCTCAATGTGTTTGGTTCTCTCATGGAACACTGGATTTGATGCAATATGCAGAGCTGCCTGATTGTCACAAATAAGTGTCATTTGTGAAACATCCCCGAATCTCAGGTCGTGAAGCAATTGTTTAAGTCATATAAGCTCACAGGTTGTTGTTGCCATGGCTCGATATTCTGCTTCCGCACTTGACCTTGCCACTACACTTTGTTTCTTACTCTTCCAGGAAATTAAGTTACCACCCAAGAAAACACAATAACCTGAGGTGGATCTCCTATCAAAAGGAGAACCTGCCCAATCTGCATCTGAGTATCCTACAACTCGAGTGTGTCCCTTGTCTTCATAGAGTAAGCCTTTTCCTGGAGCTCCTTTAATATATTTCAAGATGCGAATCACAGGTTCCCAATGCCCTTCACAAGGAGAGTTAAGAAATTGACTTACCACACTAACAGGAAATGAAATATCTGGGCGAGTAACAGTGAGGTAATTCAGTTTTCCAACTAATCTTCTATATTTTCCAGGATCGGAGAGTGGCTCCCCCTGAGCTGGCATAAGTTTAGCATTGGAATCCATCGGAGTGTCAACTGGCTTGGAATTTAACAGACCTGTCTCCTCCAAAATATCCATAGCATACTTCCTTTGTGAAATCACATTCCCCCGTTTGGATTGGGCAATCTTTATGCCCAAGAAATAACGAAGTCTGCCGAGGTCTTTTGTCTGGAAATGATGACAAAGGTGTTGTTTTACCTGTGTGATTCCATGATGATCATTACCTGTAATGACAATGTCGTCCACATACACAATTAAGTAAATACACCAAACAACTGAGTGACGATAAAACACTGAATGATCAGCTTCACATCGCGTCATACCAAACTCTTGAATAACAGTGCTAAATCTCTCAAACCAAGTCCTAGGAGATTGCTTAAGTCCATACAAAGACTTATGAAGACAACAAACTAGTCCAGAAGACTCCCCCTGAGCAACAAACCCAGGAGGTTGCTCCATATAAACTTCCTCACACAAATCACCATGGAGGAATGCGTTCTTGATGTCAAGCTGGTAAAGGGGCCAGTGGCGAATAGCTGCCATAGAGAGAAATAATCGAATCGAGGCCATTTTAGCCAGGGAGAGAAGGTGTCACCATAATCTAGGCCAAACAACTGTGTATAACCTTTGGCCACTAAACGTGCCTTGAGACGATCAACTTGTCCATCAGGCCCAACTATGACTGTGAAAATCCACCTGCAACCTACAACAGATTTTCCATTAAAAATAACCAGGTACATCGAGAATAATCATCAATGAAGGTAACAAAATACTTAGACCCTAAAGTGGAAACAATGCGACTAGGACCCCAAACATCCGAATGAACTAGAACAAACGGAGACTTAGAACGACGATTGACACGACTCAGAAAAGAACTACGAACATGTTTTCCTAATTGACAAGACTCACAAGATAACATAGATAACTTGGAAAGGTTGGGCACCAACTTTTGTAACTTTGCAAGACTTGGATGTCCTAACTGAGCATGAACCAGGAGGGGAGAATCCACCACGGAACCAACATGTGTAGATGGTTGAAGAAGATAAAGACCATTAGACTCACATCCGGTGCCAATCATCCGTCTCGAACTCCGGTCCTGCAAGAAAAAAGAATCTTTGGTGAATGAGATAGTACAATCAAGAGATCGAGTCAAACGACTTAGAGACAATAAGTTAAACGGAGATCCGGGTACATAAAGAACATTAGTAATGGAGAGCGAGGGAAAAAGGTGGATAGTACCAGTACCCTGAGATTGAGTTTGGGAGCCATTTGCTAATGTGACAAAGGGTAATAAACCAGAAGTAGAGATAGTGTGGCCAAGCTTATGACAATGATCACATTTAGGACGAGGCTTTTCAGTCTTCTGAAAGTGGCCACGATCACCACCCGGAGCACGATTACCTCCTTGAGAAACCAAAGCAGATGAATCAACTGGTGTGGGTGGGACTCCGCCGTCAGATGATGGTTTTGCTGGGACACGCAGCAAAGTAGACCATGCAGTATCCAGAGTGGGGATTGTAGGAGACCCCAATATCTGATCGTGAATAGACGAATACTCTGGAGGTAGGCCATACAGAGCTAGAAGCATGAAGAAGGATCGACGTTGTTCAAGTTCCTTAGCAGTGGTAGCAGCTGGGGGCAATAATTAATTGAAATCATGAAGAAGACCTTGAACATGACCCAAGTATTCAGCCATAGAACCATCCAGGTGACGAGGGGAAATAATATTCTGCAAATTTTGACACATTCCATATAAGCGTTGTGTATCATTGGTATAAAGGATCTTAGCCTGTGCCCAAACAGATTCGCAAGTCTCATGAGAACGAAAGATCTGTTTCAAGGATGGACTAATAGTCGACTTAATGAGACTGCCGAGTTGAGCATCAATTTTCTTCCAACGAGCACTATCAGTGGCAGCCACCGAGTCGGCCTTCTTAGTGAGGTGATCTTCATAGGCCTGTCCCCGGAGCCATAACTTGACGTCGGAAGCCCAAGAATCATAGTTAGTACCGTCCAATTTGTCAACGGCAAGAGGAGTAGTGATATAACTTGTGAAAATAGGGGCCTCAGCCCTTGGAGGGAGAATGGCGGCCATGGATTCCAAAAACGGTGAGAGAAGTGACCAAAAAAATGGAAGATCTGAGAAGGAATATCGGAAACGATGAAGCACGGTTACCGGAAAAAAAATGGCGCCGATAGATAGTGGATCTACCGGGAAAGCACGGATTAGGGTTGCCTCTTGTTAGGCTCTAGATACCATGTTGAATAATGAGAGAACAAGAGGAAGGTTGGATTGAATCCGTGTGTTTGAATTACACATCGGAGCTCATTATATATAATAGGAGGCATAAATGCCATAGTAATTACATAATATTCTATAATAATTACATAATATTCTATTTCCTATTTACATGATATCCTAATTACTTACAGAATATTCTATTTACATAATATGGAATACTCCGATATCTAACAATCTGAAAAGTCAAACATAGATTTTGACTAACTGAGTACCTGCAGATTGGAATTGGATTACTTGTACTTCAGCAATTGAGTGGTATCAATGGAGTTTTGTTCTATTCAACTAGCATCTTTGCAAATGCAGGTTATCACTAAATTCTTTAGAATTTTAAAATACTAGTATTTTTCATATTGGGAGGATGAGAGGACAGGGAAGCGTTGGTGATATTAGTTAAAAATTTCAAATACTAGAAATATCAATGTCTAGTATAATGCAACATGGTTTGAGATGTTAGAGATAGATTAGAAAATTCATGTTTACTAGGTGTAAAGTTATAAACCTCCACTTATTTGTTGTGTTTCCATGACTATGGTTAGAATATATAAAAGATATTTCAATATATCTTTTTTGTATTTTAGAGCATCTTAGGTGTTCTCTTGGGATTGCTTATATTTCCTTATTTAATTATGTTTTAAGAGTCTAGTACATTTCTGAACAAGTATTAGTGTTTTGTTCTTTTTTAACACATAACCTCACATCAATGAAGCACGGATACGTCCAAAATCCAAGCCGATTCATATCCGGATACGTGACTCTTCATTTAGATCATACTTATTTCTTTTTAATGATCATTCACTTTCCTTTTAATGACCATTCACTTTAATACCCCCATTTAACTTTTTCCTGGTAGTTGTCAAATTTTCAAGGTTGGTTTTATTCCCCATAATTCCTTATGAATTACCGATATTTGAAATTTAATTCAGATTAATTATTATTTTCTTTTTACATATAACATTATTTATAAATGATAGATATCTGCAACGGTCCTTTTTTTTCTTCTTCAGACCTTTCACATTTTTTAGCAATCCGGTATTGTGTTAAAAACTGTGTCATGTGTTTGGTTTTTTGTTATATGTATCTTACACTTAACGTATCCTATATTATTCAATCAGTGACGTATCGCCGTATCGGATACATATCGTATCCAATACTCGTATCGTGTTCGTGCTCGTGCTTTATTACCTTGCATCAAGAAAATACCAAAATTTAGAGTATATAGCATTTTAGCCTCTCTATCTATTCTATTCTGCTATTGAGTTCTCTTAAACTTACCGCATAATTCAAGTTGCCATTGTCAAGGTTAGATAATTAGTCTCCATACCCTTAACCATCATTAAACTAAGGACATACCTATGTCAAAAGTCTTAGATCATTTAATCCTACTGCCATGTGCTCCTTCCGGCCTCTAACTTAGGGAGGGTTGGTCCATATTTTATTATTTAATTAGGATTAAGATTATAGTTCAAGTATAAACACAAATTAGTGTTTTGTCTTTTGTAAAGTACCAACACATCTCAAATCAAGTAAATTTCAAGTTGAGTATTTAGGTCCATTTTATTGGAAAGATTCCAAGTCCCATATTGGTTAGACATAGAGCCTATAAAGAGTTTATATAGAGTGGTACCTTTCACCTTATTAGTTGATTTTGTAAGAATGAGTTAAGTCAAACTCTAATGTGGTATCATACCGCTTACATCCACGTACCAAACTCAAAAAGAGTGTTGGGCATAAGGGGGTGTCTTGGAAAGATTCCAAATCCCACATTGGTTAGGCATAGAGCCTTAAGGAGTTTATATAGAACGACACCCATAACAAGCCCCGCTTTTGTAAGGATGAGTTAGGCCTAACTCTAATAATTTGACTAGCTAAATAGTGAATAACTTACAAGGCAGAATAAAAAAGTGTTCCATGTTTGATTTCTAGTTTTGGGTAAGAAAATCTAGAGGTGAGGTACCAAGACACTACTCTATAAATTTTATTATGCCACAAACTATGAGATAACTTTTGTCCCAAGAACTACGTGACAAGACGAAATATCCATTTTCTACTCATCGACCATTCTCTTCTTCTCTCCCCCTTACACACATGCACACGCGCGCGCACACACACATACACAGACATAGAGACACACGGACACATGCGCGCGCACACACACACACCATTTACATAATTATTGTTGGGATTTCCTTCTTCATTGTGGTCCTCTCCTAGCCACCTAATTGCAACATTTGCGCTGCTCTCATTGCAGTCTCCAACACCTTCATTGTGTTGGATATGAAAGAGTGGATTTAGTCCCACATTGCCTAGAGATGTGGTCTATAGTGTTATAAAGCTTGGACAACTCTCACCTTACAAGTCGGTTTAGTAAGGTTGAGTTAGGCGTAGTCCATAATTTAAGATGATATTGGAGCTTATCCTAGAACTTTTGTTGGACTTTCCTCCTCGTCCACATTTTAGCCTCATTGAGCCTAAGCTTGAGGGTGTATGTTGGAAATTTACCATTTTCAATGCGACTGTATAGTGTTTATATAGCTTGGGCAACCTGCACTTTATAGGCTAGTTTTGTAAGGTTGAGTTAGGTCTAGTCCAAAGTGTAAGAGTTATCCATAGTGGCGGAGTAGTGGCAAGTGGTAACCCTCTCATCTTACATGTCGGTTATGTAAGCCTGAGTTAGGCCGATCCAAGGTTTAAGATTGTATTAGTGCCTAACCTATATTTGTTGTTGCATTTCCCGCATCCTCCACGCTTCAGGCTCATTGGGCCTGAACTTGAGGGGTTATGTTGGAAGTTTTCCGCTTTCATTACGGCTGTGTAGTGTTTATAAAGTTGGGCAACCTTCACCATATAAGTCAATTTTGTAAGGTTGCGTTTAGCCTAGTCCAAAGTTTAAGAGTTATCCATAGTAGCGGAGCAGTGGCTGACTAATATTGATAGAACCCAATATGAGAAGATTGATTCAAATAGATTAGTAGAAAGTAAGATAAGTTTACTATTGAGCTGTCTTAGTAATTAGTGGGGTGTCTAAGTAATATGAATATTTTATTAGTTTCTACTAGTCTCTTTGAATCAATCTTCTCATCTCGGGTCCTATCATTGATTTATTATAAATTGCAACTAAAATAACTAATAAAAAATGTTCATGTGAGTTAGACACCCCAGTAATTACCAAAACACCTCAATAGTATAATTAGTTATTACTAGTCTCTTTGAATCAATCTTCTCATCTTGGGTCCTATCAAATATTCTCTACCTGTAGCATTGAGGATTAAAGTTGCAGCCGCAATCGTGGCCAAATAGTGGTGCTATCACCCGGGAAGGGACCCTTGAAAACCCTAAAACACCCCTAGAAAAGGAATGTTTGAGATGGGTTTTTTTTGGGAATGAAGGCCTTAAACTTGTTTGGTTCCTTGACTGTTGTTTTCTACTTGTATGTTTTGTTTTATTACGGTTTATTACTAATTATGAATAATTCATGAATTTTTAGTAATTTTCACATTGTTGAGCATATAGAATTAGAATAGCGGCCATCCTGCTCTCCACTACTGAGTATTATATTACATAATTACACACCATATACTAGTAGGAAATAATTAGTGTGTAGTACAAAGACTATTATAGTAAAATTTAGAAAATTTTGTTTATGTTGTGTATTGATCACCAAACTATTGCATGATAAAATGTGTTGTGCATCAAATGTGCCCTTAGTCTCTAGTCTCTATTCCCTTCTTTGGATCCTTCCCAAAGAAGAGAATAGAGATTAGAGACTAATCTAGCTGTTTTTTATCGTAGTGATATGCTGTTGGCTTTTAACAAAAGGAATGTAAAGGACTAAAATTCCATTATGTTTTACTTAATCTTTGTTTCGGTAGTTTGGGTTTTGGCACTTGTTAGTAATAGAAACTAAAATGGGAATTTAGATGACAGTCATAATGCTTCCTAGATCTAACTTGCATCTGTTTCTGTATTTGACTTCTGTATTGTAACAGGAATCTCATCCAGCAATATTGCTACCGTTGGACTTGGAGCTATTCAGGTTGCAAAATAAAGCCTAGACTGGAGCTACAAATTGGGTTTCATGTGAATTTATAAAGATACTATAGTGAATTTAATTCTCACAATCAGCATTTTTTTCCAGGTCATAGCTACTGGAATCGCTACTTGGTTGGTGGACAAAAGTGGGCGGAGGGTGCTCCTAATAGTGAGTATGAAGTATAGCTTTCATTACTTCATTATATTGCAAGATGCAAATGAAATTTAATATTCGAGATCCATTATAACTTTGCAGATATCCTCATCTTTAATGACAGCTAGCCTTCTCGTTGTTTCTGTAGCATTTTATCTGGAGGTTGGTACAAGTAATGGTAATAGACACATTCAGTTTTGTAGCTTGGCAATCCTTTTGACTACTTTATTTCATTGATACCAGGAATTTGTATCAAAGGATTCACACTATTTCAGCATTTTGGGAATAATATCTGTTGTTGGCCTTGTGGTATCTTTCTTGAGCTCAGCTGGATATTTTGTGTGAAAGTTTTTAGATTTTTAGTACTCATCAGTTTTATCACCTTTTTTTAGGTTATGGTAATTGGTTTCTCTCTAGGACTTGGACCAATTCCTTGGCTTATAATGTCTGAGGTATGAAATACTTTAGTATTCAAAAGCTAATAATCTGAAGAAGGATTAACTAATTGTTGCACTATTTACTATTATGTCAATGCTTACAATTTTCCTCTGTAATTTCGGTTGTGAGAGCATCATCCAGCTTCCTGCCTTTGACATTGAGTCATGATTGCTGAACTTGGGTTAATTTGAGTTAATTGAATATATTAAATAGTACATAATTTCTGACCTGTTAATCATCATTTACAGATACTTCCAGTGAATATAAAGGGCCTTGCTGGAAGTACAGCAACCATGGCTAATTGGCTAGTTTCGTGGATAGTCACAATGACTGCAAACTTGCTTTTGACTTGGAGTAGTGGAGGTTTGTGTTTGTGTTTTTTTTCTGTCTTCATGAATCTCTTGTATACTTGTTAAATATAATGCTGACTTTTTTTTTGACTGTTTACAGCGACATTCACAATCTACACAGTGGTAGCTGCATTTACTGTTGTATTTACGGCGCTATGGGTGCCTGAGACCAAGGGAAGAACATTGGAAGAAATTCAGTTTTCCTTAAGATAGAGTATGTTTCGGGAGAGCATACTGGAAGTCTCTGATATATAAAATGATGTGTGTATGATATCATGTATTTTATAGTGCTATGCATTTATTAAATTTTTTTGCAGCAAATGTAAGAAAAAATAATCAGTAGATTGTTTTTTTTTTTTTTGATGTACATGCTGCTGTGGAAAACAATATATAATAGCCAAAGAATGAGAAAGGAAGTTACAGAAGTTACATTCTGCCTTGGCTATTGGGAATAAGAGAGGTTACATTCTACCAAGTTTATACAGTGAATAAGTTACCAACATTGTTATATGGGATCATATTGTTGCATTTTCTATCTTTAATTCAGATGTATCAAATTAAGAAACAACATCTATTAAAAAAAACAAGTTTCAGTACGATAATTTTGATCCATTAATAATATATGAAAAATTATTTTTCATCATCTTTGCACTAAAAAGGCAACGTCTGACTCAAGGCACCAAGAATCTTCGTTCAGGGTAGTTAGTAAGTACTTTGATGTCAATGTATAAATTTTTCTAAAATAAACTGAAGAAACTTAAGTTAACACAAGTTTAAGATAATAGGAAGTAACACGAATAAAATAATGCTCACAAGGGTTCCTAGAACACTATTTAAGTACTTTAAACTGAAGAAACTTAAGTTAACACAAGTTTAAGATTATAGGAAGTAAAGTGATTAAAATAATGCTCACAAGGGTTCCTAGAACACTATTTAAGTACTTTAAATATCGAAATCGTTAGATTACTTTATCTACGTGCTAAAAACTAAATGGTATTGTAGTCAAATAAAAATTAAATAATATTGTATTTAAATAAAAATTAAATATTATTTTATTTATTACTTTGACATAAATATCTCTAAAGAGAACTTTTCATGTAAGTTTTATGTATTTGTTAAGAATTTTTTATAGCAATAATCATGTTTGTAAAGATGATATACTTTTGTGGATTTTGGTGTTAGTTGTCCCAACTAAGATTGCACGTAAGATCAAAGTAAGAAAACTTTGTTGTACGGTGAAGGTAATCATCCTTAACATTTGGAAATCAGAAGTCAAGGTTAAAGGATTTAGAAAACACATGTATGACTTTACGCAGACTCGTGTAGAAGTAAATATGAGACATCAACATTGGAGGAAAAGTTGTAGCAGGGAAATTCATGAATGAGAGGTGCTTCAAGAAATCAAGGGAAAAGAAGTGGGAAACCAGTGATATGTGTTGGACAAGTAATGAGCTTGGCGAAGGTTAAAGACGACAAATATCCAATTAAAGTTAGGTGCAGTGATCTAGAAACTACGACGACTTAGGGTGATGATATAAGAAGGTTACACCATATATCAAAAGGAATTTGAGGGTGGATTCTATTTAAAAGGGGAGACTGCAATACCCTAAATTCTCTAAGCATGAGTAGGAAAGACTAAGAGATAAATTTCTAATCAATAAACTTAATGGAAATTAAGAAGTTCTTAGAGATAATGACTCTAATTATCTAAGAGTGGCATCATTAGTAAATAAGTCTTAATGACAAGGACAATTGGATAATTGAGCATGGCATTATATAAACCCATAATCCACTTTTGTTCCTCATTCTCCACTTGTTTCTATCTCTCAAAATCAGAACAAAGAAGAGAAGGGTTAAGCTAGAGAGAGAGAGAGAGAGCTCTCTTGTGGGAGGAAGATGGGGAATCATCAAGCTCATCATCATCATTCCTTGTTGCATGTAGATGGAAGGGCTTAGAGTTGAATCAAGCTATCATAAGGAGTGAATTTTCTACCAAGAGAATTGGAGAATCATCAATGTCCATCTTCATCTTCCATAAAAAGGAGTTGGGATTTGAAGGACAAGAGGCATGGGGGCTATGTTCAAGGAGTTAGAGGAGTTGTTCAGAATTTGGATTCCTTGACCTGCCTTCATTTAAAAGGTAACAACTTTCTCCTTGTAACTCGTATCGACACAATTCTTGATTTTCTGGAATCTACACGAAACATCCTTCAGTTTAGATACTAATTTCGTTAGCTGGATGTTCGTCACGAGGTCAGAATATGCATTGAAAGATGGAGGTCTGATATAGAACCATGCAGAAATCAGCATATGTGTTGTCGAGGTTTGGAGTGGCACAAGCGAACAAAAGCGAAATCGGAATGTCATACCAGATTGGTTCTATTAGATAGTTATTTGGGATAGAATTTATGGGTTGGTTTGATATGCTTAAGGGATCATGGCTTATGTTTTGATCCTATTTGCTTGAGTATGAACCATTGTTTGCATATGATTCTCTTATGATAATGATGTGCTTATATATCCTAAATGTGTAATGATATCATGCATTATTGTCTATTCATGCTAAATATGAATATGACCTGTGACTTGTGTGATTGGATTGTGATATTAATCTATGCATTGAATCAAATACTTGAAGGTTGCACATGAATTCGTGATTTTACCTCTTGATTGCATAGAAATGCATTAGTGATTGCCACCCCTTTTAGAGTTTGATTCAATATCTAAATGATAATACTTGTATTGATGTTACATCATGATGTGCTATCCTTGTTGAAGTGCCATAGTTTCTTGGGTGAAAATGAGAACTTGAGATATGTTTCAGTAAATACTTGAATGTATAGATGTATGTATGCTTAGAATGAAATTGGAAGGAGAATACATGTATTGGTGTTAATAGAGGATTACACTATGTTCATGAACTCTATTTCATTATTAGAATGCATATTGATGTGAAGACCGTACTTGATCTTTTCTTCCTGTGTATCAACATTTTGTAGTTGTACATCTTGTATTCAATTTCAATATAATTCATAAAATGTATGCACTGTATATCTTTTTCCTACTTTTATATGTACTCAGTACCAATTATTAATATTTTATTGATATGATTCTAGACACTAGGATGCGAGTATATTAAGGATTTTACTTTTGGAATGAATCACATCTCGACAGATTCGCGTAATTATTAAAGGAAAGAATGTAAGAAGCATTCATCCTTTTGGTTAGAAGAATATATGAGGAACTTTTCATCCTGTAAGACCTAGAGCATGATTATCGGTGTTCTTTGAGAGTTCCTACACATTTATTAAAGAAATTGTGTCAATAATAAATGAATATTTCACTTGTTTTCACGTTCCTGAACTAAAGCACGTCATCATACTAAAGCACGCTTCTACACTTCAATTAAGTGGGTCATGATAATAAATTAATAAATAAAATTGCAAGAATGTAGTTGATTTGTTTTAAATGTGAGATCCATTTTAGATTTTTTGATGACTTACATGGATATTTGAGAATTGTAGATGGGTTGTTTAAAAAATTGAGAAGTGTGAAATAATATAAAAAATTATGTGAGTCCCATTTAAAGAACCCAAATGGGTATGATGGATGTGGATGCTCTTAGAGCCTTTTATCGGATATTCAAAGAAGGCATCATTGACAAGGGATAATTGAGCAAGATTAAGTGAGTAAGTGAGATATAATTTCTCATATTTGGAATTAAGTGGAAATGGTAGAAATCCTAAGTATTTAGTTAAAAATGGACTAAATGGCAAATTAGTAAATATTGTTTAGTTAAAGGGCAGTTTGGTAATTTCATCTTCAATGAAAATGGCTTAAGGGTTATTTGGTGAAATCCTTTCTCTCATGCAATTACACAAAAATCAGAATTGAGGGAAGGGTTTGGAGAAAGGAAACATGAATTGGTGCGATAGGGAGAGAGAGAACTCAACTCATTTCTCATCATCATCCTATTCATCTCCATTGATGCATGTAAAAACTTGAACAAATTCTTGGTAAGGAAGACAAAAAGAAAGACTAAGATAATCATCATCATCTTCAATCCATCTTTATCATTACTTAAAGAGGAGTTATGGTTTGAGAATCAAGAGGTATGAATGGGTGTTCAAAGAAATTGTAGAAGTGTGTAAATTTGGATTTCCTTGAGCAACCTCCACTAAACATGTGATAACTTTTTCTCTGTATATCGTATTGACGTGATTCTTGATTTTATAGAATATACACAAAATTACCTTCAGTTTGGACATTAATTGTGTTAGCTGGATATTTGTTATGAGGCCGGAATGTGCATTTAAAGATGGAGGTCTGATTCAGAATTATGCAGGAATCAACATACGAGTTATCGAGCTTTGGAGTGACAGAAGCGAACGAAAGCGAAATCAAAATATCATATCAGGTGGGTTCCATTAGATAGTTACTTGGGATAGATTTTAGGGGGTTGGTTTGATATGATTAAGGGATTTGAGCTTAGGTTTTGATCCTTTTTGCTTAACTAAGAACAGTTGTTGCATATGATACTTTTATGTCAATTGTGTGAGTGCATGTTCTAACTTGTATGATGATATCATGCATTGTTTCCTATTAATACTAAATATGAATATGACCTGTGAGTTGTGTGATTGGATTGTGATATTAATCTATGCATTGAATAAAATACTTGAAAGTTGCACATGAATTCGTGATTTTACCTCTTGATTGCATAGAAATGCATTAGTGATTGCCATCCCTTTTTGGAGTGTGATTTAATGTCTAAATGATAATGTTTGTATTGATGTAACATCATGATATGATATCCTTGTTGAAGTGAAATAATTTCTTGAGTGAAAATGAGAACTTGAGATATGTTTGAGTAAATACTTGAATGTATAGATGTATATGTGCTTAGAATGAAATTGGAAGGAGCACTACAACAAATAACGCTTGTAACATCGAACGCGAAATGCATTTTATATCGGTTATCCAGGAGAGATAAATAAGATTGTCATAAAAAAGTCTCCACTTAACACCTCAGTGTTTTAAACACCGAGGATTTAATTGAAAAGGTCATTCGATCCCTCGGTACTGTATATTTTTATTTTATACATTTCTTTGCGCGAGTCATATAGATGTCAGTTTTATTTATAATTCGAGGTAATAGGATATTCATTTACCTCGGTTTTATGTTATAACCGAGGGGTTTAAAATGAATATTTTTGGCTATATTTTCAATTTCACTTGTCTATATCACTTTCACTGACCTGTATCATATCATTATAATAAATCTATTAATCTTCCGGTACAAAATATGTAAACAAAATTAGAATATATATATATATATATATATATATATATATATATATATATATATATATATATATATATATATATATATATATATACGTACCAAAATTTGAAAATTTACATCAAGATAGAATATACTATTTCACATGATCATATATGCACATTAAAATGACAAAACCTCTGTTCACATACAAAATAAAATTATAGCAATAAAAAAAAACTATTGTTGTAGTTGTCGAGCTTCACAGTGAGATAAGAAGACATTGACCCAACGTGGTCAGATGTCATCAATATCTTCTATTGAGTATGGTGTTTGGATGCTAAGCTCTTACAATTAGAACAAAATTTAAACTATGATAAACTAAAAACAACAAACTTAGTTAAAGAAGTGTACATATGTATACTTGGATTAAGCTAATACCTTGTTCTTCATCCATCCATGTTTAATGCCTCCGGAGACAATATGGAGCATATATCTCATAACATAATATCCACAAGATTGAGCGTCGGTTTATTTTCGCCACTACAAATAATTTTCACATTAATGTCACACTAATATACACAAATAATATAATGTGAAAAAACACAATTACCATACTTACTTTTGGGTAAATATAGACTGCCTTTTTATCAATGAGATTTTTTTTTTCGCGCATTAAATTTCTCCACCGCTCTACACATGTCGGTTAAATTTAACCTTGAATAAAAACTATTCTATTCTAAAGTGAAATTTGAATATAAGAAATAATACCACTTACCCACTTAAAGCGTTAACCACAACGTCAGACAATGTCGAGTGTATCGAGCAAAACACAATTATATTATTTCTCTTGGGACAAACAATAAGTAATTGACAATGTCGGCTGCATAAACATTCAAAATAATTAATAATATGGACAACATTGATTTATAAATGATTACACTACTTATTATATACTTACTCGCGGTAAAACGGGGTAATATAACAATCTTTGATGTTCCCTTTCTCCATCAACTTTTCTTGTAAGTATATTTTGATTTCGTGTCTTGGAGAACCGTGAGTAAGAGCAATCCTCACAGCATCTAAGATACAATACTTACTTAGAAGCTTCATTTTAACACATACCTCATGGATGTGCTTGCAATGTCAAATCTTTATGTTAAAGTACAAGAACGTATGAATATAATTAGAAATCAACATAAAACTATACTCACGAGCTCCAAATTGGCAAAATGGACTTGTCTAGTTCCTCATCTCCCTTCAAGAATTCATGTATGACAAACTTCTTAAGAAAGAATAACTGCTATGGATCATGCCTTAATTGAATACCCATAATTATGGTTTCAAAACTCGACAACATCAGCTCTAGTCTTCGAAGACTATCTTGATTTGGTGGTGGTGCGAGTTCAACACTGCCATGGTTAGCAGAAAAACTATATGTCGCGCTTATACCACCCATAACCTTCTCAAGTAAATACTCTCGAATGTCCAACTGATTTAAATTTGTGTGGCTGAACATACCAAATGAACTCAATTTCTGCATCATAAAAATATCATAAATACAATTCAAAATTGAAATACACAAACAATAATAACAAAAACATACAACTTATTGTCATAATACCCCAAATTTGCCCGCCTTAGTGCTACCGTCGAATTTATTTTCGAACTTGAATTTTATATGGTGAAAGATTCCTTTGGTTTAATTACATTAACATTTTGGGGCTTTTAATAAATATTCGCTTTCAAGTCTGTTTAAAAATATAATAATTATTTGTATTTTTAAAATAGCAAATAATTGTCCACCTTCATATACTTTCAATTGACATTTTATTTCAATTAAGTAACATAGCACATTTGTTAAGGGAGAAAGACTTGCAAGCAGAAGATCATAGGTTCAAATAGATATTTTTGTTGTTTATTATTACTAACTTTATTTTCATTTTCAATTATTTCTAACCACAAAAATCTATTTTTTTTTCAAATTAAATTATTATTTTCGTATTTATTTATTTATTATATTTAAAAATATTTATTTATTTATTATATTTAAAAATATTATTTTTTAGTAAAATCATTATTTTAT